TAAGTGATGTTAGACTTCAGTTCAGATAACGGTGAACGCCCACTGGAGTAATTGCACCTTGTGGAGCTGGGCAACGAATGTGGGTCTGCTAGTCGATTACATCGGTGACGTCACGTTACATTACATACCTTCCTACACCACTAACACATACCATTTACTTGCCCCTGACAGTACCTTGTAGTCGACCCTACCTCCGAAACTCGGTAAGTTTGTGTTTGCTTATCCAGCCATTATAAATTAATTATCCATAGGCATTGATATATATAACACTAGATCAGTAATAACCGCGCCAAAGCGTTGCCACTGCACATATGGCCACAGCCATATGCCTAGCTAACGTGAGTTCATTGTTCAATGTGACGCCGACAGAGTTGAGCCGCGACAAAAATGGGTAAATGCGTAGTGAAAGAATGCTATTCAAGGTCACAAAAACGTAATAAATCAGGCAGAATCACTTTCAACACATAATTTTTAGTTCTTGTTTTCATATAAACGTAAAAAACCTCAAATAATTAAATAAAATTATCGAATATTGCCATTTAGGTTCAATGTTGCCACTTTTCCTCATTTGTGATTATCCTACATTAATAGGAGACTATATAATTAATGGCGTAAGTTAATTTGTTACCTCTGACTTTAAATATTTTGGAAATTATAATAAAATCTACGTTTTAACTTTCATACAAAATAATTAATTATTCTTATTTTCATGAATTATCTATTAAATATATTTTATTACCTATTTTATATTAATAATTTTTTTTAGGTATATATAATTTCATATAAATTTTATATTAATTATATTTTATTACCTATTTTATATTGTTTGATTTATTATTACCATAAAAATACGTTTTATTTCATCATTATGTTTTCTTCTATTCATCTGATAAGCTGTGTATCCTTTTTTTCTAAGGGGACGTAATATAATAAAGAATAAAAATAGTAAGATTTTAAAATAAAATATACTTTTATAATATAAAAACAATTAACTGCAGCTTAAAAAAACTCATTTTTATTGCGCATTTTAGGTAAAATTTCATATAGTAAGCTACACCAACCCGCCATTGCATGTTTGTGTGTCTATCTTTATCTGATCTTAGCGACGATATTGTTTTCGCAACTTGTGTAAGTGAGATAGATATATGTTTACTTAAAATTGTTATTAGTTTCAAAGCTACGTCGTCGCGTTTGTATAGTGGTTACACTTTTTTCGACGCGCGGTAATGTGGTTTGCTCCTCTAGTGTTGTATAGCTCAATGTCCATAGGCCATTTGGGCCCGAATCCTCGGTTGCTCGTCGAGTTGGGTTACGATGAGATAGGACCAGGCCTCTATCACTCTTGCTACCTGCGTAAAATAATTACCTAAAATCGCGACGCGCCCGGGCGAAATAACGCAGTCAGGACTGGCGCGTTTGCATATGTAAAGTTTTTGCCGCTTTATGTAAGTAGTTGTTGAAATAGTTTTTGTTTAGTTTTTAATTTTTAATTTAATTATAGGTAAAAATAGTTGTAAAAGTTTTAATGTATTTTAAAAATTATATAGGTATTATGTATATTACCTATTTGATAAATTATAATAGCAAAAAGTCGTTCCTACTATAACTGTTGCTTAGATGGATACTAAATGAAATGACCAACAAAAGGCTTCATATCATTCTTTAAGTTACCGAAGAATTTTAGAAGGAAGTTATGAAAGGTTAAAAAATTTATTTAATTTTTTTTGTTAGATAGGTACTCACAGCAAAAAAGAATTAAGTAATAATTTGTTCTACAGAAGAAATACCTAAGTACTTCATTACAACAATTAGTTAAATTTTACTTCACTATCCAAGTATTTACTTACATACCTACACTTGTCTTTTGTAATTAAAATATTTTGAGTTATAATAACACAAAATACTGAAATTAAAACTTTGTATACTAACAAGATTTTTAACTAAATAGAATAGATCACATTTCTGTTAGAAATCGTATTTCTGGTTTATTTGTTGTTTACACTATCTACCTATTTCTCCCAAACGTTACGATTCCCGACGAATGACCTTGCAATTTGCATGCGTTAGGCATTGCAGAACTTACATGTGGGCAAAAGTATGGTTCAATCATAGTCAGAATATTAGTTAGTACTTCACCTAAGTAACATAATTAACATTTCGCAATGTATTTTTTTACTTTCTATTGACATCCCTTAATAACCGCGGAAAGTCCGCCGTGACAAAAAATATGCAAAGTAATATGGACACTAGCGCGCAGCGATAAAGTTTTATTTAGCTTGCGGGTGCGATTTATCCGATTAACAATAATAATGTAGGCTATTAAACGTCGGTAAGCAGTAGACTATCAAAGGAGTGCAACTTCTGTACGTAGTACTATTATTTATTCTGTGCTAGGGCTCAGTCGACTTTTGTCGGGGTAACGTGACTTTTGACGGTGCCAGAGGGGCGGGTTTGGGCTTCTGGGCCTGGCGAGGAGGCACTGGCCGTGAGGCGGCCGCGCCGATAATCGCCGGGGGGTTACCCATGCGTTGGGTTTAGGTGCTGAAGGCACCGGAGGGCCTGGGCCTTGCCCGGAAGTCCCTTTAACGGGGGCGGGTTTGGCTGTAGCCTGAGCGAGCGCGGGGTGCGGCACCGAGGTTGGTGCGACTGATGGGGCAGAATGCCGTGGGCGCGACCTACTGGAGTTGCCCGCTCGCCCGCATCGGATTATTCCTCCGTACTACTTCCTACGCGGCGCTTTGGTACACCCGCGATAGCTCGCTGGGTGTCCCTCTTCGCCGCTCAGAACACAGCTCGGAGGGCCTTCCGACTCGGGCGTTCGGGGGCACTCGGGAGTGCCATGATCGCCTAGGCACTTAACGTACCTAGGCCGGGCGAAACAATTTCTGGCTGAGTGGCCGTATAATTGACATCGGTGGCATTGGCCAACGATGCCCCTATTACGCGGGGACTCTACAGCGATCCCCGTGAGGTTGCAAATCCGGGTTATATTGTATATTTCTTTGCCCTCCGGAGACAGGTCCAAAATTACTAGGTAAAGATCTAGATACCGTTTTTTATCGGTCGGGTGGTGCATCCTGTGCACTTCTCTGACTGGAAAATTTTGCGATTTAAGATCGCTTAGGATGTGCTCAGTTTCGAGCTCCTTAGGGAGTCCGCGAACTACAACACGGATGTTACGGTCCTCCGCGAGGGAGTATGTGTGGAAGCTCAGATTCTGAGCTTTGAGATTCGCAAGTAAAGCGCGGAAGTCGTCCGTCGTTGCGACGTGAATGCGAATGCTCTGGGGACCATTGTGGACTTTCGGGCATTTCTTGGAGTCTATCCACTTGGATTGGTTGCTCCAGCGAGATTTATCTTGTAATATGATTGGAGGCGGCGGCTTCTCCTTCCTTACTACAGCCGGAGTCGGATTCGTGTTCTTGGTGCGCGCTATTTTTTAACCGGAGTGGCGTTGGGTGACGTAGGGGCCGAGTCAGGCTCGTCTCCCTTTTTCGCAGCGGCGCGCTTGCGTTTCTTGCCCGAGACTAGGGTGAAGCCTTCGTCTTCGGGTTTTTCCGGTCGGTGGTTGTCCGTCTCCATCTCGGAGCCAGATTCGGCGTCCGAAAATACCGGGGAGGGATCTAGGGTAGAGAGCGCAGAAGGTGGGGGGTCGCGGCGTCGTAAACTGTGTCGATGGACACAGGGGTCGAGCGCCCGGTGCTCGGCAATATAGGGTCGTCGATGCGTGGTACGGGGCGTTCAGCGGTGGGCACATTACGTTGAGCTAAAAACGTAGCCCAAACGTCGGGGCACACTCGACTTAAAAAGTCGGTGAGTTCGGCTATTGAGATAGCGGCCATCTTATTAGTGATTGAAACAACACTTGTGTATCAAGTTAACCTTTCGGTGGGGGAATTGTGTGCCTGAGCGAACACTTATACAACTAGTGCGTTGGAACGCTAGGGTGTGTACCTAGCTGTCGCCTAATGCAACAAGCGAACACAGAATTTAAACAATAGAATTGCTGCCTCTAAGGCAGCGGGTGTGCAATAAACTACTTACGGTTTACTGGAAATCGGCAGAACGTGGGGCACTAAACTAGCACTACACAATAGAACAATAGGCCGGCGGCCCGATGCACCTAGCGGCCGTAAAGGCGCACAACAACACTGAAGCACTTAGCACTTCTGCGAGCAGGTAAAAGTCTTTGTCTTCATTCCTGGAACATGGGCTCAACCGATTAACAACACTTCGCGGTAGGGTCGCAGGTGACCGTTTGCGGCGAGGTACCTGATCGAACTCCTCGGCAATCATGCGTATTGGTCACTGACCTCTATATATATATACAAGTATATATAGAGGTCGGTGGTATTTGTAGTTGTTACAGCCAAAACTGTAAGCAACTTTTCGGTGTAGTTGTGGTACTTCATTATTACACTGTTATGAGTTATGACCATAGAATTAAAATATACTGGGGAGTTTTGGGGGGAACTTGACCGTCGACGGATTGTTGCTCCTGTTTTATCGCTTAAATAATGTTTTGAAGTGGATTTTGATTCGTAAAAGTCATGTGAAGCTTCGCAATGTGACGCATCGGCATATTGTGAAGAAAAAATATATGAAAGCGAAGATTCCGTAAGAAATGATAGGTTCATAAAGAATAGAACCCAGAGCCGTAAAGTCAGTTAAATAAAATAAAAAATTGTGTCCCTGTCATTTTGACACTAACATTGACGTTTTGAAGATTAAATCAAAACAATACACAATTCTCTTTGCTCTTTGAATACAATGTTTATAACTGTTAACTGGACATGCTTGTGGCTAATTTTTTAAAATGTGCTTCTCTTGTTAGAAAGTTGTCATATTATATTTCTTAGTATGCTCCATAGAGGAAAGTAATATATGTATGCCCTGCACTGCTAATGATGAGTTATAGGCTAAAAGTTGTGTTTTTAATTTAAACCAAATAGAACGATAATTACCGGTTCCCTATAAGTTCTATATTGGCAGTTTGAAAAATGAGCGATATCCCAATCCTAATATCATCAGATGATTCCGAAAGTAGTAATGATTATATTAAAAATTTGCCCTCAGTAGATTTTCAATCATCATTTAGTTCAGGTATAATCACATAATTTATTTTGCCTACCCACTTGTCCGAATAGATTGTTCTTCATAGAAAAATCTACTGATACTTCTATTTAAAATAAAGTGTAATATATAAAGTGAAGTTTCAAGTGAATTAGTTTCTTTCTAAACTAATTAATTACATACAATAATTACATATTATTCAATTATTGCTCCTACATTATTAATTTATTGAAAAATATTTTATTTTTTCTTCCTATTTGAAACTAGATAATACCGCTTCAAGTTCAACAAATGGATCTCGACCTACAACAAGATCAAGAGGCAAAAGAAAAAGTCTCGGTAAATATTTTTATCAAATTCTGTCATGTATATTTAAATGAATGTTAAAAACCAAAGTGTTTACAGCTAAGACAAAACAAGCAGCTGAGAGGAATACAGCAAAAGAAAAGCTTGCTGAACAGAAGGCGGCAAAGAGAAAGGCTCAAAAATTAAACAAGATTTATAAACCAGGAGAATGTATGAAGGTATTGTTTTTATTAACCATTGCCATTCAAAGTAAATAAATTGCAGATTTCGGTTTCAGATGTCAAACTTATTAATGCTTTCTGTCAATGTTCTAAATACTTCACATATAATATGAACATACAATAGTTTAGTATAGTATGAATAATGCAAATGTCTAATGGAACTAATAGAAAAATGGCAATATTTTTTTTACATTTGCCACAAATTTTATTTTTTAGTGTAGTGGTGTAAGAATATCTACTACTATTCTGTGCTTATCTATCCTGAAAGAGGACTTGGCCACCAGCATCTTCTTGATAACAACTTAAAATTATATAAAACTGCTATAGCCAAGCAGCCTGCCAAACTTAGCATATATGGTGAAATCCTCCAAATGTGGCAATCTATGGTGGAGGCCTATGTTCAGCAGTAAACTTATAGGCTGTAATAGATAAATGAATGCATAGATTTTATAACAGGGTTTATTCCACAATATAATATAAAGAGGTTTTAATTAAAATACTGTTAAGATGCTATAATACCTCAGCTCAAATTCTAATTTTGCCCCCACTTCCCTGCACGTTGTATGCTATGTAACATGTTTGTAATCACTAATACTGAAAGTAGATAGGTCATTAGATACTTATTTCATTAGGTTTATCATATTTATGCCTGTTTCTTTACACCAACCCAGTCGCTTCTTATTTTTATTATGGTTATTTCCCATTTTAATTTTACGTTATCCTGTTGCGTAATGTGTATTCTGATCATAAGTGACACAGCATTCCCGTTCGAAAGCCGAAGCGAGACTGATCGGGCGCCAGGGAACAAGCTTTAAGATGCCTATAGTTTAGGTAATTTCTTTTTACAGTGAAAATAATGGTTATTTAAAAAAAATAAACATAAGCCATGCTTTATAGTTAAATCACTTAGTATGCAAAGTTTCACGATGTAATTTAAAGTATTTTATGTATACCTGCAGTTTATTGTTCAGTTTGAAGGTAACTTTGGATTTTTTATTGAGAAAATTTTACGGAATCGTATTTTCGTCTAACATAGTACTTAACACTAATCGTCAACTTTACCATATATTTATATCAAAATTAATGCTGCAATATTTTCGGCATAATGGAGTATATTGCTAAGCTTATACGTGGTAGAGCCATACTGCAGTTATATTAGTAGTATAGTTGTAGCATGAATGGGTCGGCTTGACCGGGGAAGGACCATGTGCTCTCACAGAATACCAGCGTGAAATAGTAGCATAATGCTGCTGTGTTTCGTATGGTGAGTGTAGAGAACCGGAGACCCTTTTTACTGGAAACGAGGCATTCCATCTTAGTCCTCACGGGTGACAACGCATCTGCATTTTGATTTGTAATCGAGGATAGATGTAGATGTCTATGGGCCGCTGCAACCACTTACCATCAGGTGGACTGTGTGCTCGTTTGTCACCCAATCCTATAAAAAGAAACAAAGCCATTTGAGTTACTATTGCTCCTTCAGAAAGGGGTTTTTAAACATTTTCCACCAGTTCCACCTGGATATGGTGAGACTTTTATGTATTCTGCAAAACTATAGGACTGGTGTCAAAATAATGGTTGTATGGACTTCAAAAATAATACGATATAAATGAAGATAAATGTGCATTATTTACATATTACATTCATTATTTTAATTTCTTTCAAATTTGTAGTACATGAAAATAGAAATGCATCCAACATTTTTGGAAAAATGGTACACAGATGACATTGAACATGAACTGAGTATGTGTGGTGCAAAGGTCCTGTCTTCTTCAGATCTCTTCACAACAGGTCTGGTGCTGTGGAAACGTAGTGTGCCGCCATCACTAGTTTCTATAAATGGTCAGGTAATATATTTTAATTACTATTACGGTAAAATTATTAACTGCATTTAAGTAGTAAGATATAACAATATGAGCAAAAGAGTTTAAACACATTTCAGTTTGAGAATATTATTTAATAATTTTTGTTAACAATTTTAAAACTTAATAAGCTGACATCTGCTGAAAAAGAAAGTAAAAATTATGTGACTTTCCTATTTGAAGAGCTGCGAGTGGTCGGCCATAGCATGGTCAGAGTTTATTGACATTTTGTGGCTAAAATACCATCTTGCCGTGTATTGGCGGCGTAAGAGAATACACTACTCTATACCATCCCTTGGGTGCCATTGCTTACTATATTATTATCATATTTATTCATCATCGTAAATTGTAAATATTTTTTTAGGTAGAAATGACTACTTCGCAAGAGTACTGCGACCGTGGTTTGTACGTCATCACGGCTAATGATGTTGTCGCGTATGTGTGCGAACACACACTGGCGAAACATGTCGCCCAGATACGCGACATGGCCGATGTCAAACTTACGCTTGTTATTTTCGGCGTCCAAGATTACTTCAAGTAAGAAAATATAAATTTTTTATTTACCTAATGATTCTCTGATAAGCTCAGGGTTTAAGCGCTCACCGTAAATTCCATAGTACAAGAGCAACCGGGGTTGGATTCCCGCCGTGATATTTAGTTGCAATTTTAGTGTTAAATTAATATGGCAAGTGCTAATGGAAAAGATTGTGAAGAAATGTCTGTCAGAGAAAGTCAAGTCTGCCAACACACACTGCCCTAAAACCCTCTTAGAAATAAGAGGAGGCCCATGCCCTGTGCTGGAACGTACATAGGATGCTCTATAAAACAATATATCTACACACACATGCTCAATGGTTAAGACGGGTACTTTGGGACCATCTTACATATCTCTTGGTATTGCAATTGAGTGAAATTGAGCAATTTTATACGTGGTAGAGCCATGCTGCAGTTATATTAGTAGTATAGTTGTAGCACGAGTGGGTCGGCTCGACCGGAGAAGGACCACGCTCTCACAGAATACCAGCGTAAAATAGTAGCTTAATGCTGCTGTATTTCGTATGGTGAGTGTAGAGAACCGGAGACCCTTTTTACTGGAAACGGGGCATTCCATCTCAGTCCTCACGGGTGACAACGCATCTGCATTTTGATTTTTAATGGAGGATACGTAATGATGAGCAACCACACCAGGGGGTGTAAAAAAAAAAAACCATAAAACTTCGCAGCATTTTTTTAAAAAAAAAAAAAATTTATTGGGGAAAAAAAAAAAAAAAAAAAAAAAATATTTCTTTGTTTTTCCAAGGGGGGGAAAAAACCCCCCATAAGGGGGTTAAAAAAAATAGTAAAAAATTATAAAAAAAAAAATTTTTTTTTTTTTAAAAAAAAAAAATATTTTGTAGAAGGGAAAGAGCGATGTAGGCGGCCCCCATACCTGTCACTTTCTAATCAGCCGCCTTTGTCAGCATCTATAAATAAAAATGAATTAAGAGGAGTTCTTACTTTCAGACATGCAGGAAAGAAGACTAAACAAAATAAGGACCTTGTTATGACTGAGATTGATTTGGAAATGGCCATAACTGGTAAGTTTTACAAAATTTTAGAAACCTGTAATTTAGAATAGTATCACTACTCATTTATTATTCTTATTATAAAATAAGTTATCTTGAATCCACTGCTGTATTCCGGCTTAAAGTGTATAAGAGCCAGTTTCTTTACATGCTGTGACATCTTCAATGACCGTGATAGTTGTCACCACGCTTGGCGATAATAAGACGCTACTTGGCACCGATTTAAGTATTTTCCAAGAGCCAAATTTGACGGTGTACTGGCAGTGTAGGAATATCCACTAGTCCATATCGTCCCGTGGGTGTGATAGGAGGCGACAAAGGGAATAGAACCAGGAGAAAGGCAGCAGTGTCTACCTTATTACAACTATAAATTAAAAAAAAACTGCTTGCCAACGCCCCTGTCAAGTGTGGCGACTATGGCAAATATTCTCCTTAAGGCCCGCGTCCGCAAGGTTCGCCTAACCGAGTCGAATCGAATCGCAGAAAGTTGCCTCCTATATATTTACTATGAAACTGCGTCCTGCACTGCGTACTATGAAATTAGCAACGAGCCGCGGCGCGCCGAATTGAATCGACCGCGCGAATTGCTTCACAGGCGAATTTCTTCGCCGATGAGATTCGATTAAATTCGGCGCGCCTCAGTCGACACGGAGAAGTGGATACGCGATCCAACGTATTTTTATTAATTTCTATTTAGTTTTCATAAAAATCTTTTTGTTTAAATAAAAATGAATGAAGATCTTAGGATAAACGAAAGTATTGAAAAAATTTAACAGGATCCCTTTTCAAATCTGGATACAAATGATGAAATTCGCCGTAGTTATTTTCATATAAATGTCGTGTATCCAGTATCTGGGAGCACGCCGTTTCCTTTTTTAATTCTCCTCTGCTTCATCAAAAAGTATTTGAAATAAAAACATCTCTTGATGAAGAAAAGTTTGCAATGAATGAGCGATTTTTCAGAGATGTACGCGCCAGGAATCAATGCGACTCGCTTCGATTCGACGCGTTTCTACTCTAGTCGACGCCAGGTAAAGCCTGAGGAAATTTATGGGAAGGCCGATGTTCAGTAGTGGACTTTGATAGGCTGTAATGAATTAGTGAGGCATCTCATCTTCGTCAGGGTTGACAACACATAAACCTTTGGTTAAAGATGGTTGTAGGTGTCCTATGCCTACGGTAATTACTCACTTATTATTAGTAGATTAAGATGTCTGTCTGTCACGGTAACCACTTACCATCAGATTGTCTGTATGTATGTTTGTCACCCTATTCCTATAAAAACAACCGACTTTTAACAAAGAAGCCTAAAGATTCATTGTCACCTCTGCATACGTTAGAATTGAATGTCTTACAGCCTGTAAAAATATTGGCTCTATACCTTTCAGGTTAGAACACATCAGTGCACATTTGGTTGTTTAAGAGGTAGAGTAGATGGACTCCTAGACAAAATAAGTCCTACCACTTAGGATAATATACAAATAACCCTTGCAGACCAACTCAACATGAAAAATGCCAGTGAAGTTTTACTTTGTATGTGGTATATGCTGCAGCTGTATTAGTAGTATAGTTGTATCACGAATTGTATCGGCTCGACCGGGGAAGAACCACACTTTCACATAATACCAGCATAAAATAGCAGCTTAACGCTGCGGTGTCTCGTATGGTGAGTGTAGAGAACTGGATCCTTTTGTATGTAACCCCTTTTAATAGAAACTAAGCATTCCAGCTTGGTCCTCACGGGTGACAACGCATCTGTATTTTGATTAGTAGTCGAAGATAGATGTAGATGTCCATGGACCACATCATCCACTTCAGCCACCTTTATCCTATTAAAAAAACTGGCTGCAGTACTTACTCACCAGCAAGCGGATTGTCAGACTTATTTGTCACCCTAATAAAAAACCTATAAGGGTTGGTGATGATGTAGGCAACTTTTTTTTCAGACTTGTTAGTGAGCACTGGATGCGACGCAGTGCTGTTGGACCACGCCAACGAGCTTACGTTGTTAATAACGCAATTCACAAAAGCTATAGCAGAGGCGCCTTACAAGTATTTGCAGTTTCTTAAATTTCTTTATCATTATTATATTTTTTTTTTGCCCATAAAATTCTTATGCTGAACCTTTTTTTGTAAGGAATAGTATACTTTTTAATATAATAGTAGGCCAATGCTGTGTTTTACAACTGTAGCAGCAATTAATTGGCTCGACATAGCTTAAAAGCATTGTGATACTGTTGTGATTAGTATAGTTGTGATGAGAACAGGAGACCTTTTTTAAAGGTATTCAATGATAGTCCTCAGGGGTGACAACACATCGGAATTCATAGCTGTAGGCGTCTATGAGCCACAGTATCCACTTACCATCGGGTGGGCTGTACCCTCGTTTGGTAACCTTACTTCTATAAAAATACTATTAGGTTGAAATAATACTAGGTTTTACGAAATTTATCGCGTATATTTAACTTTTTAAATACCCAAATAATACCGAAACGTCGGGTATTTAAAAAGTTAAATATACGCGATAAATTCTGTAAAAACTAGTATTATTTCAATGTGTAGTGTTCGCGTAAATATAAGAAATCATTATACTATTAGGTCTTTACCTATGAAATTGCCGCTTTTTGTGAAATAAGATAACGTAATTTTTCTATATTTTGTATTTCTATTAATCAAAGTAATCACCCATGCAACCAATGCACCTTTGCCAACACAATAGCAGTTTATTGATGCCCTTCTTGAAGAAATCAGCTGGACGGGAGACAGCAAATTCTTCAAAGGTATTTTGTAGTGCCTCTCGGGTATTGAATTTTTTACCGCCAAAAGTTATCAAAATTCTGGAAAAGTTCTGTAGTCGCAAGATCTGGCGAGTATGGCGGATGATGTAGAGCTTCCAACCCCAGCTCTTGTAACTTAGAGACCGTCTGTCGCACGTTGTTGTACAGTAGTAGCGGGGACAAGCAATTATTGACCAAAGCTGATAGGAGATGTGCAAGCTTCTCCATCATTGTGCTTGATTCTTTACAGTACACATTTGCAATAATGCTCGTTTCGTTTGGTAAGAAGCTGTGATGAATCACACCGGCGCCATCATTTTTTTAGGGGTAAGTTTTCGTTTAGGGCATTGTTGAGGTGCTGAACCAGGGTCCAACCAACTTGCGGAGCGCTTGCGATTGTCAAACAGAATCCATTTTTCGTCGCAGGTAACAATGCGGTTCAAAATTCCTTCGTTTGTGTGCCTATTGAGCAGTGCAAGGCACGTCTCGACGCATACTTTGCGCTGGCGATCATTGAGTTTGTGGGGCACCCATTTGTCAAGCTGTTTTACCTTGCCTATTTGATGTAAACAATAATTGATACAAAACAATATTGTTTTGATGCTAACGTCGACAGCTGCCGCTAATTCAGCCGTAATTAAGTAATTCTGCTTCCACAATCGCCTTTAATTCATCATTGTCGACCAAAGTTTTCGGACAACCACGGGACTCATTTTTCAGGTCGAAATTTCCAGAACGGAAATGGGCAAACCAATAACAGGTGGTGCGTTCGTTTGTAGTATTCGCTCCGTAAACGTCTTTGCTGTTGCGTGCCGCGCTGCTGCCACGACGGTACTCATATTACATAAATTACTCGAATTTTCAGCGTATCCATGATGACGAAAAAGATTCAAATGGGATAAAAACATAACGCTAATCAATAAACAAATATGTAATTTTGAAAAAATAATTCCATGTATTTAAAATAAAATTTATTTGAAATTAGAATTCGTAGCCAAATAAAAATTATTTTTATTTGAAATGGCCAGTACTGCAGAACGGCAATTTTATAGGTAAAATTTCAAAGGTAAAGACTTATTATAATAATTTTGTCAGTTCGCTGCAGCACCTAACTGCATTTTGATCCTTAACTGACACAGCATCCACTTACATTACATAGACTGTGTTCTGTGTTTGTCAGTCTTTTTATTATTAAAAAAATTGCTTATAAAATATCTTTTAAACATAATATAAAAATCAAAATATATTATTATCATCTCAATAAATAATTGAAAGTTAATATATCGTTAAAAAACGAGGTTCCCTGATTATAGACGGAAACTCTGCAGATTTTTCCTTGCCCTAAAACCCTCAGAAATGAGAGGAGGCCTGTGCCCAGCTGTGGGACGTATATAGGCTGTAACGTTACTTTTACTTTTGTGTCCAAGTGACATCGGATAATCAGGCGGGCGGCCGGCTTCCATCCCTTTGTTATGTTATCCACGCATTCGAATCACACGGTTTGCCTCGTGTTCCGTAATGCATACAGGAAGGGAGTGGAATAATTTGCCAGCGTCTATCGGATCTGCAAGACAAGAATGGATAAGCTTGCGAAGATGGTGCAATTCACCCTATAGAATTTCATCACCACTTACCACCAGTTGTGATTGTAGTGAAGCATGTAATAAGCCCCTTGACTCATGAGATTTATCAATATTTATTTATGTGTTACAGGAAAGCAAAACGCGAGTGCGACGAGAAAGCAGAATTCTATATGAGAGGCGACAATAAAAAATGCGTTCCTGTGGATAAAGACGGTAGTTGGTTATAATATATTATTATATAGTATAGGTAGTATAGGTTATAAAATAGAAACTCGTCATCTTGGCCTCATTTGATAAGAACTAATCAAAATGCAGATAACTTGTCAAGCCTTGATCAAGATGATGGCTCCGAGCTGCAGCGGCTTAGCTTAGTTCCGAGGGCCTCGGTTTCCTGCACGGAAAAACTATTTGTATGGCCTACAAATAATTGTTCCGGGTCCTGGATATTCGTCCTTGTGAAATTGAAATCTTTATTGAACACCATACAAAAATTACAAAAATTATATATACAAATGAAGTATACAATGGGCGGTCTTATTGCTGACGGCAATTTCTTCCAGACACCTAATGTATAGACAGGAGTATGGCAAATTGGTGTGATAGAAAAAAAAAGAGGTAAAAAAAGAATACGCAATATTTATATACTGGTGACCTTTTTTATCGTTTGGAAAAAAATAGGGTGTAACATATAAACAGACTAGAAGCCTATGGTACTGATATTTTACAAAAAAAAATTAACAATTTCTTACTCTTTAAATGTATTCTATGACCAAGAGGTTAATTGCAGTCTTTCTTCATCAGCCAGTAATGCCAAGTCCACCGCAGAATATGGTCTTGCGAAGTAGAATTATCTAATTGCAAGGAAAGCGTAACAGCTATCGCAGTAACCAGACGTCTTGCACTCTTGACTATACCTCCAACTCATCAACGGTCTGGGTATTTTACGTATGGTTTAAACGGGATGGTGGACGGGCTGTCGCAAACGCTACTTAATTTTAAGTCACGTGCTGCCTCCAAAGTGACTGTGACAACTCGAGACTTAACGACATCTTAAAATTGAGTAGCGTTTGAGTATTTTGCCATATTTTGTGCATCCTTTATATAAATAATTTCCGCAACATTCTTTTATATTTTTCAGGTAACGGTATAAGTAGGCTCTGGCAGCAAATGATAGCTGTTTTGCCACATTGTAGCTTGGAGACATCACGCGCCCTCTGTGCCCAATATACGACGCCATTAGCCTTGTATGAGGTATATTCTTGCTTCTATTGCGATTCAATTTTAAAAAAGAACTGAAGATATGTGAACTCCGCCAGTACTAATTGGCAGCGCGATGTACACTTCAGTTTCCTAAATCCTCTCTGAGATGAAAAGAGGGTTGTGGGTCCGGGAGTGGAACGTATAATAATCACATTATTTTTGACGTGACAACGTCTAATAAATCGATGAACGCCGGCTGCATGAATGAAAAAGGATGACTCATTGTCCCGTGACGCTTCGACCATAGAATACTATAATACACAATAGAATGGCTGTCAACCTTACTTTGTACGACGATAGGCGTTGCCGGGAGCACACATACAAGCAATAATAATTATATATTATCACTACTACAAACCGGATTCACTGCGTTGACAGACAGATTTTAATACATATTTATTTGTAAATAGCGTGAAATTTAGCATTTTCTAAACAATTTGCATGGGTAATTTGGAAACGATTGTAACGTCAAAACACATCTCGTGTTGACATTTATACGTGTGAATTGACGTGTTAGTCACATTTTAGTGGCTACACGGGCTCCGCCCACTCCCCAGTTCTATTATGTATGTATTATAGTATTCTATGTCTTCGGCCGAGCCGAGCACGATCGGAGCGAGAGCGCGGCACGAACGAGCGAAAGGCATGAACGGCTTCAGCGTTCGGCTTGCGCCGCATGAATAAGTATACAATCATTTCATCAATGGTTTGTTATGACGTCACGTTAAACTATCGTCCATAAACCAACTTTACAGACGACCATTTTTTTTTAATTATTACTGGTGGAAGATATCCCGTGTAGTGGCAGTGTTAGAATATCCACTACCCCATATCGTCCCGTGGGTGTCGTAAGAGGCGACAGAGGGAAACAAATCAGGAGATGGGTAGAAGTGTCTTTCTGATAACAACTCAAAATTATAAAACTACGGTAGCCAACCCGCTTGCCTCACCTTGGCAACTATGGCAAAATTCTCCCTATGAACCAATCTATGGGAGAGGCCTATGTCCAGCAGTGGACTTTTATAGGCTGTAATGGATGGATGATAAGGGAATATGTCAACTATTTTCCAAATATAAACGTCACCTATATTGAATGCTTTTTGCTGAGACAAAGATACGGTGATTGACTTAGGGAAAAATCCCTAAACCTAAAATTCACTGCGAGGGTATCGGATTTGCGTTCACTAACGCGCCTGCCCAACGTGCTGAGTATGAGATGTGATGTAATACACGATAGCCTCTGAAGTTGTCTGTCCTAAGGCAGTGTATTCTTTCTTCTTTTTTTAACTTTGCCCCTTTCTCCATTCTTTTTTAAAATTTCTCGTGTATCGTGGAGGCAGCTTACATACTGTTACGTAATGTTCGAGTTGAATGTTGAAAGTTCTAGGAAGGAATTTGCCACTCGATACTAGATGGCTCTAGTGGTAAAGTTCTAGCGCGGATATTTTTAGAAAGCTCTCCTAGTTCTGCTATTTGATACTAGATGGCGCTAATGTCATTAATTATGGTGCGCAACAATATAAAGTTTCACAATGTCAAAATTGGAATCTAGACCCTCCTACGTTACACAAATTTTTGCATTATGAAGTTTTAGCTTAAACTTTAAGATTATTTCTGAATACAGGCCTAAGACTAAGAGGCAAATATGGAAAACATCAGAAAAGCTTTCATGGCTTTCGAAATAAAGCAGTAAATCCAACCAGCTTACGCCACACAAAATACGTAGACCGGCAACGGAGAATTACGTACGATCCTCCTGCCAGTGTAGTAGCCGACTAACTGATTAAGAACTGGACATAAATATATATTTAAAGATGTTTTGTAACCAATTGTATTTTGTTTTAGAGTCTACAGTCACCAGAAGGTGTAAAGGCGGTCGCAGACTTAGGGGTGTCACGCGCGGGGGTTCCCGGTAGTAGGGCGCGTCGTATCGGTCCAGAGTTTGCCAGAAAACTGCAAATATTATTTACTGCTGAAGACGGAAATACTTTGCTTGATTAAACCAAATGAAGAAGTTATTATATTTCTGTACATTTTTATTAACCAAACATAACTTTTTTGTTAACTATTAAAATATGAGATCTCACAATTATATGTGTCATACCTTACATATTCAATCTACGTACATGATTGATCGATGAGACAAAATTATATCATACCTCAACATCAGAAATGGGGAAAGAATAATATGATTTAACCTTTATAATTGACAGAAACTGACACAACAGTTTTTACTATGGTTCATAAAAGATAGCTTGATCTCTGCGACAGCTGTCAGTAAAAATCACGCCTATGAAGTCCTGAATTTCTTAGTAGTACAGACACTTTGACTAGAGAAAAAAGAAAGGACATCACATAAAGATTGTTAGTTGTAGGAATGTAACGAAATATCGGCGTCTCTTTTTAGCTTATGAGTATATTCGTATGTAAAAAAGGACAAAAGTAGTTTTATCATTACCGAATATGGCAACAATTTTTTCACTGCGGCCGGGCGCCATATTTTGTCACAGTCAATGATGACTGTATCAGTTGTCATTACGACTTTATTGAGGTGAGTGTATTATTTTCATATATTTCTCTCGTGGAATTCGATTATTACGGAATTTCTTATTCTATTCCCCGGGACCTCTAAATCGGGATAAAAAGTATCCTATAATACGTTAATTCAGGTAATGGACTGTTTGTGTGTCAAATTATTACATTCAAACTGGTTTGATACTTTTGGCGTGATTGAGGAACAAACATTCAAACTTTTGCAATTATTATAGTTTGATTAGTGTGAGTATGATGACTTAGCCTAATTTATTGTCTAACAAACAAAGAAAAATTCTTTAATTAGTATTTCTTGTTAAGTAATTCCCGGGAAATAACGGTAACATTAATTATAGACACACATAAAAACAAAGCAAAAATGACTGCTTAAAAGTAATGAACTGAAAACATAGGTATAACTTATAATATATTTAATTATCTCCTTTTAATTTCATTTATTTTGATATCGATAGGTGGGGTAAAAAAATTATGGACTTACAATTTGGCGCCAAAAGTCTGTCATATTGATTTAAAAAAAACCTATCTAAGCACACACGGGTATTTGAGACGAATCACACAAAAGAATCTTTTTCTAAATAAGCGCCACATTATCGATATTAAGTATAGTGCGCAGCACTACGTCAAGCCGCCATCTTTGTGCCAGATTCAGTTTAGGTATACACGTTTTTTTCGTAGGTATGTCATGTCCTTTCTTTTTTCTCTAGTCAAAGTACAGACAGTATCTGTCAATGTCATACTTTATGGGCATGCACTAATTAGGTCGGCATGCCCATAAAGTATGACATTGACAGGTACTGTCTGTACTACTAAGAAATTCAGGACTTCATAGGCGTGATTTTACTGACAGCTGTCGCAGAGATCAAGCTATCTTTTATGAACTATAATAATAATGTATAATGCTTTGTAGTTATAAAAAAATGTTTTATTTTGTTTTTGTATTAAGAAAATAGAATAATAAATAAATAGATTATCTATATTATAACTTAGTTGTTTTAATGCATTAAAATGTCTAAATTGAAAAAAGCGTAAAGGCTGATTCACGTTACACCGTGTTGCGACCGGGCCGGGTCCCGTCCAAGCCCCCCCGGCCGGGACACGGTCAAACAACATACTTTTTGTATGAAGTGCTTGACTGTGACCGGGCTGTGCCCCCGCCGTGCGCCGCCAGGACCCGACCGAGGCACGGCGTCGAAATGTCGGTGGGTGTTGTTTCCCGGCTCGGTCCAGCCTAGACAAATATTTGAGATGTGAGCAGCTTAACATCAAAATGGACGATGAAAAATTTCTAGATTGTGTGCGCAAATATCCTGTAGTTGACGATATGATCCTAAGTATTTGGGTAATAAATACGAATATGTTACTTGGAAAACAATATCGATCGTCATCGACGGCAATTGCAATAGCTGCCAATTCAAGTTGTAAAAGTTGCATATTTAACTCATTCATCACGTCTATCGAGATATAGACTGATGAAATCAATAGTTGACATAAAACACCTATGACACACAGCCGTGCAAAGAATACACGCATACAGCCCTGTGTAGCATGAATGACTGGCCTGGCTGGCGCACGGTGGACGTGCCCCGGGTGGAGCCCAGCCCGGTCGCGACGCGGTGTCACGTGAATCATCCTTAAATAGTTACGAGTAGGATAACAGTAAATAGTGAAAGATATTACCCAACCATCCGCATTATATATATATTTTTTTTTTGAATTATTAGTAATCCTATTAATTAACATTAATAATATTCCCTTTAACCTTTTGAGCGCCAAAGTCGTCTATACGTGACCAGCACCCGCGTGCCCTGAGCGCCAACGACGTCTATAGATGACAAAAAACCCGGCCCACAAAAATATGAAATATAGACATTGGAAAATTATTACTGGTATTTTAATTCTACACCCCTCAAAAAAAGAATAACCCAGCAACATGTGAGTATAAAAAACAAGTCTTCTAGAGCCACAAGTACTAAGAAACATTGAACTAAAAAAAATGGATTTTTATCTAAGCAAATACTATGTCCAGCACGCCAAAGTCGTCTATGTTAGACCGCTAGTGTTGTAATGCGTTAGCCATAAATTTATTGAAAACTATTCAAAATTAAGCTCAAACGTGTTATTTTTTTCTATTATTATTGATATTTAAATAAAACAAAAGGTTAGAAATATAAAACTATAATTAGCTACATGAATTAAAAAAAAATTAACAAATTATCTTCGCATAATAAATCTAATATCTCAACTCTGGCGCATCCTTAGCGCGACATCGAAAATCAGTTCACTGGGCGCCGTGGTCAAGTATAGACGACACACTGATGACGTCATAAGCGATTAGCGGGAAAATTAGTGCAGTGCAACATGAACGATTCCTCAGAACTCATTCGGATTTTGGAAAGCGTCGACGATGATGAATTTTCGGAAATTTAAAATTATCGTGAAACCAAAGTTTTTCGTTTTCGATTAACTCTACCTCAATGAGGTAGGAATACACTTTATAGTCTTTTTACGGTTAATTTCTTTTTTTATAGCATAGGGTAATAAACGAGCACACAGTCCACCTGATGGTAAGTGGTTGCTGTGGCCCATAGACATTTACAATCTATCCTCGATTACGAATCAAAATGCAGATGCGCTCTCACCCGTGAGGACTTAGATGGAATGCCTCGTTTCCAGTAAAGAGGGTCTCCGGTTCTCTACACTTACCATACGAAACACAGCAGCATTAAGCTACTATTTGATGCCGATATTCCGTGAGAGCGTGGTTCTTCCCCGGTTGAGCCGACCCATTCGTGCTACAACTACTAACTCCCGTAATATAACTGCAGCATGGCTCTACCACGTTAGAAAATTTGCTTTGGCCAGCTAAACATTTATGTTTTATTATTCCATATTTTTATTATTTTAAGACTAATATTACCTATAATTTATTAATTATTTTTAATTGTTGTTTTCTATATTAAGTACTGATTGAGTTAAAGACCAAGATTTTAATATTTTATGACTAGACCTAGTGCAAATAATTATTTACACTTGTTGAATAATTATGTACCCTTTGTTGATTTCTGTAATAAGTACTGATTTTTTTATTCCATGACCAAGATTTTAATATTATAAGACTGATTTTTCTAGTGCGAATAATTACCTATATACAGTTGTTGATTAGTGAATAATTACGTACCTTTTCTATTTTAATAATATAAAATTACAAATAATAAATGTGTTTTCTTTACTTAAGGTATGAAGAGCAATTTTCATTTTGTGTTGTGCGATTTTCTTTCTCAATCTCAAAATCATTTAGCAACATCAGTATCATATGAAACTCCCTTTATCATAAGAGCGTAAGACTTTTCTTATATGATTCACTTGGCCTACGCCTTGCCATAAAATATTTTGAATAGATGTCTGTATATTTTGGTTACATCGATTTTGAAATCGATACACAACGTGCGACACGGCTACATCTCTAACAAAGTTTCAAAAAAGAAAGGTCAGCTACGCCGTTGTCGTCCAGTCGTGACAGTGACGTCATCACGACGGAGAGTAGTGTTGTGGTTTACTACTATTTTATTGTTATTGTTTGTTTTTTATTTATGTACAAAGTACATATATAAAAAGAGTGGAAGACAGCACAAGATTAAATAAAACATACCCGATTATAAAGACTCATTTATTGTATAAAAAACCAACAAAAACAAGTTATTTTGTGTTATCGATATATCAACTCTTGCCAGCACTGTTTTTTTCGTAGGTATTTTTGTTTACTTTTCGCTTTGGCGTACAGGACACGGTAGTGAGTTTTTGGCGTGGCGCTCAAAAGGTTAACCACTCCTGGTAAGCTGAAAATGCTTGTGTTAGGAGTGGTTCACGACAGTAGTCGAATAGTGGATTTGAACCCGCGACCTTTTGAGTTCGTGGTCCGCGGCCTGTCATTAGGCTACTGTCGCTTTTAATGCATTATGCTTCATTTACTTTTGCGATCACTTCTTCAATTTTCCACTAGTTACTGTAATTCAGGATACATATTTGAAACATCATCATCATCATCATCATTACAGCCCTTTAAAAGTCCACTGCTGAACATAGGCTATGCCACAAAGCACGGTCCTGAACCACCTGCATCCATCGACTTCCTGCATGTCTTACCAGGTTGTCACTCCATCTAGTGGGGGGTCGCCCTACACTTCGCCTACCGGTACGAGGCTGCCACTCGAGAACCTTTTTTCCCCAACGGTTGTCGGTTCATTTTATTTTATTTTATTTCATTTGGAAGACCAACAGCTATCATAATTAGGATAGGTAGTATTAATAACAACAGTAAGCCAATTAAAGATCCTCACTAATAGATACAAAGGTGAATTTACAACAGTGATAAATACGATTTAACACTCGAAAGTATCCAATACAACATATTTATGCCAAATGAGGGCTAAACTTGTATTATGCATATA